AAAAACCAATGTCCCTAAAACTAAAAATATAACAACAAACTATAAGGCACCCGGTGTACGGGTGGCCCGCACTCGCCTGCACCACTGCACTCCAGCCTGGTGACAGAGCAAGACTCTGTCTCAAAAAAAAAAAAAAAAGAAAAAAAAAGAATGGCGTATAATAGATGGGCACAGTGTCTCAAGCCTGTAATCACCAACACTTTGGGAGGCCAAGTGGGAGGATACCTTAAGGTCAGGAGTTAGAGACCAGCCTGGGCAATGTAGCAAGACTCTGAAAATTTTTTAAAATAACATTAGCTGGGCATGGTGGTATGGGCCTGTACTTTCAGCCACTTGGAAGTCTGAGGTGGGAGGACCACTTGAGCCCGGGATGTCGAAGCTGCGATGAGCTACGATAGTGCCACTGCACTCCAGCCTGGGCGACAGAGATCATGTCTTAAAAATAATTGGGTGCAGTGGCTCATGCCTGTAATTCTAACACTTTGGGAGGTGGAGGTGGGTGGATTGCTTGAGTCCAGCAGTTTGAGACCACCCTGGGCAACATGGTGAAATCCCCATCTCTACAAAAAATACAAAAATTAGCCAGGTGTGGAAGCACATGCCTCTAGTCTCAGCTACTTAGGGGGCTGAGGTGGAAGGATCACTTGAGCCCAGGAGGTCAAAACTGCAGTGAACCATGATCACGCCTCTGCACTCCAGCCTGGGCTACAGAGCAAGACCCTGTCTAAAAAAATAAATACAAAATGGGCTGGGCACGGTGGCTCACGCCTGTAATCCCAGCACTTTGGGAGGCCGAGGCGGGAGGATTACGAGATCAGGAGTTTGAGACCAGCCTGGCCAACATAGTGAAACACCGTCTCTACTAAAAATACAAAAAATTAGTTGGGCATGGTGGCGCATGCCTATAGTCCCAGCTACTGGGGAGGCTGAGGCAGGAGAATCGCTTGAACCCGGGAGGTGGAGGTTGCGATGAGCCGAAATTAGACCACTGCACCCCAGCCTGGGCAACAGAGCGAGACTCTGTTCCAAGAAAAAAAAAAAGAAAGAATAGCGCACATATACAAAAGTGCACAAAACATAAATGTAAAACCGAATGATTTATCAAAAAGTGAGCACCTGGATTAGCATCACCCATGCAATGGTACTGAACAGTCAAGCAGAAGGCCCCCGCAGGGTAATTGCTGTTCCAACTACTTTTGTGATAATCACTTCCTTGCTTCCTTGCTTTTGGAGTTGTACCACCTGAGAATGTGTCCTAAACACTAAAGTTTTGCCTGTTCCTTGAACTCTATATAAATTGAATTATACAGTATTATTTTGTGTCTGGCTTCTTTTACACAAGAGTACACTTGGAAAACTCATTTATGTTGTTTCATATAGCTATGGTGAGTTCATTTTCATTGCTGTTTTTTTGTTTTCCACTGTATATTTATCTACTCTATTGTTAAGGGATCTAAGTGAAGCCTCCCACCTGCCATACTTCTCAATTTCTTTTTAAAAAATTATTTTTATTTTTATTTATTTTTTTAGACGGAGTCTCGCTCTGTCGCCCAGGCTGGAGTGCAGTAGCACGATCTCGGCTTGCTGCAACCTCTGCCTCCCGGGTTCAAGTGATTCTTCTGCCTCAGTCTCTCAAGTAGCTGGGATTACAGGCACCCGCTACGACGGCCCGGGTCTATTTTGTATTTTTAGTAGAGACAGGGTTTCTCGCATGTTGCCAGGTGGTCTCGAACTCCTGACCTCAAGTGATTTGCCACCTCG